ATATCACAGCCTATTCAGCATCCTATATCCAAATGAGCAACCGAACGTACACGCAGGCAGTTCTCAACTTACGACAACTCATGAGTGAACGCAAAATTTTCTCTTGGAATGTGAAATAGTGGTCGAATGCGTTCGGCCCCATTTTACGACTTTTCTTGCTGCAGTCATTAAATGAGTCTGCTTCGTTGTTGATTGTGCTGTTTGGGATCCCATGAAACTGAGCCGCTTGCAAACCGTCATAAACACAAAGAGTCCCAAAAGGCACCGGCTTTTGTGGGTTGCAAACCTTTTCCTGAGATGCATTATATATGACCTGCATCTTCCCTCCCCCTTCTCCCCACCTGACCCCCCCTCCCCACTGAATTCTTCAATTAGCCAAGCTGCCGTGCGCCTCCTCGGAGGACAGGAACCACAGCTGAGGCCTTTGAGTGGAACTGTCAGCTGGCGAAGGGACCCCCCTCTACCGCTCTTGCCATCTTCTTCACACAAGGAGAGGTTTGTTGGCTGTTATTGCCAAGGTTTATTTTTCCCTAGCCAGCACTGGGGGGAATGAACTGCGTCCTTTGCATCTCAGAATTTGCTCCCTCTTGGTGAGACCGATTTCCAAGCGAGTCCAATTTCCAGATGATTTCCAGGGTCAAAGGCTTGCAAGACGCATCTAGGTTCCAATCACAAGTGCTAACGCTACCTTTGTTCCAAGGTGATACTAGCAGAATCTTGCAACTCTCGAAGTACCTTTTTTTTTTTTTTCAAGAGGCGACTGGACTTTCTGGGATTTTTTCTTTGAAGAGGTTTCGCTTCTTCTCCAAGAAGCTTCTTCAGGTCTGACTGGATGGAGGGGAAGGGAAGGACTGATATTCCTTGCAGACAGAGCTGGTTATTTGCATCCTTTTGGAGAGTTGTTGAGGCCACTTGGAGGTTTATCTGTTGTCTCAGGGACAACCATGACCTGGAAGGCTGAGAATCTCTACAGCAAGGGTGTCCAACCCTTGCTAACATTAAGCCTGGAGGACTTCAACTCCCAAAATTCACCAGCCAGCAAAGCTGGCTGGGGAATTCTGGGAGTTGAAGTCCTCCAGACTTAACGTTAGCAAGGTTGGACACACCTGCTCTACAGATTTCTGGCCGTACAATTTGGGATGAAGACCCTTTGAATGATGTGAGGTAGGAATGGATTTCCAAAGGGGAAAAATTATAGACTACAGGAACCATTTGCACCACTCAGGTGACCCCGAGGACCCAGATAAACCTCCAAGTGGCCTCAACGACCCTCCAAAAGGATGCAAAGGACCAGCTGCTTGCAAGGTGTATCAATCCTTCCCTTCCCCACCATCCAGTCAGAGCTGAAGAAGCTTCTGGGATGAGAAGCGAAACGTCTTCGAAAGAAAAAAACCAGAAAGTCCAGTTGCCTCTTGAAAAAAAATGCACCTTTGGGACAACCAGGAGACCTGAAGGACTGGGAATCTCCATGGATATGTTTCAAAGTACATATCTTCCCACACACACACACACACACACACATCTCACCTTTCCAACACAAGAAACTATGAGTGGTGTCCTTTCCGAGACATTTTCCACACCTCCATTGCTTTTGTGGGCTTAGCTGCCTCTTATCTGACTAGCTTCCTCCTCCTCTTCCTCCTGTCTCTTAAACCAGGAGGTCTCCAACCTTGGCAACTTTAAGACTTGTGGACTTCAAATTCCCAGAATTGCTCAGCCAGCAAAGCTATTAGGAATAATAAAAAAAAACCTATACTAGAAAGACAAAATATCTTACATTACATATATTAACAGCAGCAAGAATTTCATATGCTCAGTACTGGAAGAAAAAACTCCATACCACCAGAAGGCTTAATAATAATAAAAAAAATTGGAGACCCCAGCCTTAAATAACATTTCCAGTCATCTTTACATACAGTCCCACTAAGCCCTCTCTGATTTTGGTGTGCCGGTATCTTCTGGAAAAGTCCTGATGCTGCTTGGAGACCTGGATTACGCTATTTGCATATCCAGGTGTTTCTGATTTATTTTTTATTTTTTATTTTATTTATGTGATTTGTCAATCGCTTACAAGATAATAGGTATAAGTATAAACATAGTTATGAATACATGAGATGGGAACATATAAGAAAAATAAAAGAAACAATAGGACAGGGACGGTAGGCACGTTGGTGCGCTTATGCACGCCTCCTACAGACCTCTTAGGAAAGGGGTGAGGTCAGTAGTAGACAGTCTAAGGTTAAAGTTTTTGGGGTTTGGGGAAGAAACCACAGAGTCAGGTAGAGGATTCCAGACATTGACCTCTCTGTTGCTGAAGTCGTATTTCCTGCAATCAAGTTTCGTGCGATTAACCTTGAGTTTGTATCTATTGTTTGCTCTTGTGCTGTTATGATTGAAGCTGAAGTATTCATTGACAGGTAGGACGTTGCAATGTATGATTTTATATACGATACTTAGACCGGACCGAAGGCGGCACAATCCTAGGTTTTCTAGGTCTAGAGTTCCGAGTCTGGTTTCTTTGCTCCTTTCACAACCAGCTTGTCGCCAGCCTCGGTGGCCGCCGTGAATTGGGCTTCTGGCTGACACCGTGGTTATTGTTGTTGCTGCTCACCTTCCCTCCCTCCTCCATTGTGCTGGCGACTGAATTGAACCCCCTCGCGCCCAGGAGCTGCTGCGAGGGCAGCGTGTGGCACGGGCACAAACCTCCCTTGTTCCAGGCACAGCTGCGTCCCAGACAACAAAGGGCGAAGTGTGCCAGGGGGTGACTTGAGCCGTTGCAAGTCACGTTTTGCAAGCCAGCTGAGATGGACACGGAGGCTCCTGGGTCAAGGCTGAGCAGAAGCTCAGTGCTTGGAGGGTGGTGGGGGGGGGCGGCAGTCTGCAACCCCCCCCACCCCCCCATGGCTGGGTGGGAGGGAAGAAGGAACAAAACTCTCAGGGTGAGAGTGTTCTGTTCTACATTTGTTGCTAGGAGAACAAAAAATCTTACTCAGTTTTAATCCCAGGTTGGCTGAGAGACTGTTCCGTATCCACAAAGCTACACCCGAACAAATGAAGTACGTTGTACTGTCAATATCAGGGTTCACAGAAGGACAGAGGTTCCCGCAGGGGGTGTGTTGAAAACAGACAAGCTGGCCGCCACCATCGCACAACCAAAGCTTTGCCTTCTTGAGTGTTTTGGGGTGTGTTTTTCTTGCTCTCAAAATTACAAGTTGCATTTAACACTTGCAGGAAAGTCTAAAGTGTGCAGTCCTGAAATTACTAACAGCACATCAGCAAAGGTAATTTCCATGAGTTTATTTCTGGTTAAATTTGCACTTAGGTGTCGTAGAATCATAAGCCTGGATGGGACCTTGTAGGTCATCTAGTCCAACCCCCCAACCGCCCAAGCAGGAGACCCTATACCATTTCTGATAGATGGCAGTCCAGTCTCTTCTTGAAAGACTCCAGGGATGAAGCTCCCACAACTTCTGAAGGCAACTTCTGTTCCATTGGTGGATTGTTCTCCCTCTCTGAAAATTCCTCCTTATTTCCAGGTTGAATCTCTCCTTGTTCAGTTTCCATCCATTGTTCCTTGACTGGCCTTCAAAGGTGCTTTGGAGAATAGCTTGGCCCCTCTCCTCCTCTCTGGGGCAGCCCCTCAAACATTGGAAGACTGCTATCCTGTCTCCCCTGGTCCTTCTCTTCCCTAGACCAGCCAAGCCCAGTTCCTGCAACTGTTTGTCGTATGTTTTAGCCTCCAGCCCCCTCATCATCCTGGTTGCTCTTCTGTGCACTTTTTCTAGAGTCTCAACATCTTTTTCTATAGTGGGGTGACCAAAACTGGATGCAGTACTCTAGGTGTGGTCTTACTAAGGCTTTGCAGAGTGGTATTAATACTTGTCTTGAGTTTGGTTGAGTTTCCCTGCCTAAGCCTGAGGAATTCTTGTGCTGGTATGCCCTTAAAACAGCTTCTATATTAATAAATTGTAAACGAGAAGGAGTGACAATAGTAGTAGTTAGATATTCACACTAAAGATTAATTGCAAATATGCCACAAAATGATGAGATAAATAAGATAAATGTATGTTGACGATGTAATCATTTTTAATCGTTTACCCTTTTTTCTTCGATGTTTTTCTTTCCTTTTCCAATCTATGTGTTATGTTATTTGTATATCTTAACTGTAAAATTTAATAAAGTTTATTTTTTTTAAAGAAACAGCTTCTATTCATTTTTCCCTTGATATACGCAGGGGCATTTCCTGGAAAGCTGTGGCTTAAACAATGAAAGAAGAAACTTCCTTTAGACCTTTCCCTTCAGCAGCTGGACTATCTTATTGGCAAGCTCTGAAGAAAAATATCGTTGCACAGCCCCTCTTCCCAGCGACTGAATGCGTGTGATCATAACACAAGGTGGCAATGTCTCTCCAGAACTGTTTTAACTTCAATTCCCAGCGTCCCCAGAGCATTAACTATGATGGTGGGGGTTATATTAGAACAGCAGTTCCTCACCCCTCTCTTCGGCTCCAGATTTCTTTCCGATAACACGACCCCCGTTCTCTCAACGCTATTGCCGTTCTCAAGAAGCTCTGGCTTTCGTGTTTTGGGCAAACATCTCAAGAACTTCTCAAGGAGTGATTTGAAAGCGAATGAGGAGAACTTTGTACTTCCCAGATTGACTGTAGAACAAGTGGAGTTCAAGGCTTAGGAACCATTGTTCCTAAGGACCACTTGTTCCTCGAAGGTCCTTCTGTTTATGGACAAGGGTCTTCAGGAACTCTTGAAGGACACACGTCCAAAGAACGCTTTTTGAGTGTTCTGAGAAGAGTTGGCGAGAAACACTCCCTTAAAAGTAAGACGGGCTGCCAGCCAACGGGAGTTGCAATGTGGGCTGGAGAGCTAACCAATTCCCCCCCCCCCCGGAGGAGTTTAGCCTCAGGTGCATAGTATAAGTAGACATTCTCCTGCCTTCAATGGTCCAGAAGAATAAGGAACATTCTCCACTGTAAAGCGAAGGACCAGAATGGAAGGGGATTACAAGATGGATGATAGCAACAAGTTGGCCCTAATGTCCGAATCGCCTCCGGTGAGTTTCACTCCTCTTGGGAAAAAAAGGTTTTGTTCTTCCAACTTTAACTTGGAACAATGTACGGGATGAGAGAGAAAACAGAGGCAGCCCACAGTCGATGATAACCGAGGTGGAGAATTTTAATGACTCAAGTCTTCAGCCAATTAATATGGTGGGGGTGTCAACTAAAAAGATTACTCCTTTTGTCCTTTTAGCTGCCAGAAAAAGGAAGGGGGGTGGTGGGGGGTAAGCAGTGCATTCCTTAAATGCCTCGATAATCACCCTGGCAGCCCAAAGTTGTCTGAGCATAAGAACATTACGGGAGAGCATGATTGATGACTCTTGGCTGTGGATGTGTCCCACTGGTCTCTTCCAACTTGGTTATTCTGTAATTCTGTTATGCTGTCTTCCTTCCTTCCTTCCTTCTTTCCTTCCTTCCTTCCTTCCTTCCTTCCTTCCT